AACGGATCCGGATCGGTGAATGGGCGATTTGGATCGAGAATCGGCTGAATCGGTCGGATTAAAGCTTCAAAAAAATCCGAAAAAATGATTAAAATTCATTATAAATGTTGTTTTTTAGGAATCCAATAAGAAATGAGGATACTATATTATTAATTTTCATTTTTCTCATCAATTTGTATATATTGAGATGCTCTTTCCCTATATAAACTTAAATTAAATATTAAATTTGCATCACATAAAAAAAAATCATAGAATTATCATGGATAAAATATATAATTATATATGGACTATTATAAAGTGTAGACTAATCGATGAAAGAATGGCCATTAAAATCTTGTTTTGGCGAAAAACCCTAATCCGCTAAAAAAACTTAAATTATTACAATCTAACTAACTATAATCCAAAATTATTACAACTTAACTAATTGTAATATTATATACTGAAATTATAATTATTAGTTTACATTTTATAATTATTTTATTAGACAAATAATAACAAATTAAAAATATTTTAGAATATTATCTAATTGAAAAGTGATTAAAAAATTATTAGAAGATGCTTCCATATCATATGACTAAAATTAAAAATAAAACCACCAAGAAATTCTAATGTAATTATATTAAAAGATTCAAAATAACTTTACCCAAAAAAATGAAAAATAACGATGCCAAAATTCAAAAAAAAATCCTATCGGCAATATGCACAATAGCTACAAAAAAATAAAAATAAAAATAAAATATTGTAATAAAACCCATCGAAAAAACTATTTTACTAATAAACATCAAAAAAATTTATATGGCTATTTTTTAATTTGGCACACTAAATTAATGAGTGCTATTAATTTATTTTTTAATTTTATATAGCCGTTTATTAGTGCTATTAATTTGACACGCTAAATTAAAACGCTACACATATGGATAATGGCTTGCAATAATTAATAGCTTGTGTGACGATGGCTTGCACGCTGTTGAACGCAAGTGGGAATTGTCCCACATCGGAAATATCAAGCGACTTCCAAGTTTATAAAAGATATGAGGTTGAGCTCTTCAACAGCGTGCGAGCGAACGGTACATGGGGTAACACGTGGTTATATATGATTGTGGTACTGCCGTCCAACAATATAAATAATTACCTGTCTTTTTAAGACAAATATCCCAATTACCCTTGAAAACATCATACATGTCGAGACATGACATCACCATCCGATTCTATACAGTGAATCGGCAACCTTGCACGTGTGAGCGCGCACAGAAGAACGAGAGCACGTGCGTGAACCGGCTGAACCGGATGGGAACCGGGCGGTTCTCTCTAGAATCGGGCGGTTCCCGATTTTATGATGGAACCGGCACAGGATGGTCGGATCCCGAGTCGAACCGGGCGAGTCCGGTTCGACTCGCCGATTTTTAAAACACTGATCGCGACTGATTACTACATGGATATGGGCAACTTGGTGATAAGACCGTATCAATTTAATTGAGTGATTTAAAACTCCGCGAGTCGCAACGGGATCGGTTATCCTTATCGATTCTACTTTAAAATTGAGAACTCTCGAGTTTTAAAACTCGTTGTTGGAAATTTATAAAGCAATTTATAGATATAAATATAAAACTCGTTGTTGGAAACTTATAAAGTAATTTATAGATATAAATATAAAACTCGTTGTTGGATGTAGGATAATTCTCACGATGCGTTAAATTATAACGGAGTTTGGATAAGTACCACTAATATAGAAATCAATTATGCTTGTGTTGATCTGGCGGAGTGGTTTTCACTTATACAGGCCTTCACTTGTCAAGATCGATTCCTACCTTGAACACAACTTACTAAATTTTTGTTGACAACAAAAATAAACAAGAAAAAAAAAAATTTGAAATTTTTTTTTTTTTTTTAAATTCTCTCTTTTTCTATTAATAATCTTTTTACTAGATTTATTCTATAAATCTAAAAAATTAACTTTTTAAAAAAATTTTATTCCATTTGAAATCTTTGCCTTTCTATTAACAATCTCTTTTACTAAATTTATTCTCTCTTTTTCTATTAACAATCTTTTTTACTAAATTTATTCTATAAATCTAAAAAATTGATTTTTTTTTAAAGAAATTTATTCCATTTGAAATCTCTGTCTTTCTATTAACAATCTCTTTTACTAAATTTATTCTAGAAATCTAAAAAATTAAAATTTTGAAAAATTG